GTTTTATATAACCATGAAATCGAAAAAACTTGCAGAATTGAAATGGTTGAGACGTAATCCAAAAGAAGCAAAGAAGTCAAAAGGACTCACTGTAGAATTCCCCGATCAACTGTAAAACGCAGCAATGAACTGTAAAGCGGTGAATGAGACCCACTACTTGTCTACTTGAGAGATCTTAATAAATAGATGCTCGGAGGGGGGAGGGGGGTGTGAGGGTTGATCTTGGAGTGTGAGGACTGATGACACCGGAATGTGGTCCGAAATGTTAAAATCGCCATGGATCATGTAGTGCTGTGTGTCAATGTGTAGATTCCCAATGGGTGTGCAGGAGACGTATAGCCGGTCGTCTTCCTAATACTCTTGCACCGTCAGTCCTCCTATTATCCCATGAAAAACGGATTGAGTTGGAGTAGGAGAATTAATCCTCAAGTAAGAGGCAAATTTTGAATTGCTCTCATGAAACTTTTTCTCCCCTCTACAAGCCGGCTGCAGTTTGATGATTCATTGCGTGGCCGCTCTACCATATTAAACTTGCCGCCTGCAACCCATCTATAGTCCGTTAGGAGTGTTAGTGTGAGTTTGTGCCAAAGCGTCCTGCGGTCCCAGCCGTTGTTTGGAGCGTAGATGTTCAACCGGCCGAGATCCTCACTAGGAATGCCACATATTCAAATCCATTGGCTTGTCACGAGAGGAGCAAGGGTCCCGTTGAGAAGAATGCTCAGTTCGCCTTCGCCAGCTCTCTTTGTGCCATCCGTATTGTAGCCGAACTCCGCTTCTATAGTCCAATTTGAACAGTTGGTCCATAGTTTTTTGCACAAGTCTTGGGCTTTACTGCCATGAGCTTTGTGCTCATGGATGAATATCACATCTGCTCTCTCATCTAATTCTTGAATACAATTTTAGTCCTTGTTTACTTTGTTGGTGCCATTGAACATACGGACGTTAAATGTTATAATCCTTAGATTTATAAAGCAAATAATGAAGTGCATGTCATCAGCAGGCTGCCGAGGTACCTAGTGTTTTTCTTTGCTGATTTCGGCGACTAGAGAGAGGCTTTGGATGACTAGGGTGGATGGCCCCGCGGTGGGCTCTTGCTTCTGCTCCAATTCCGCGAGCTAGAAGAGGTCAAGGATTCCATGTTGAATCTTCGCCAGATTTGCCACTCCGTGAAGCTGTCTCTTTTAAACGTTGGTGGTTCACGCTGCCCCTCCAGTGTTGTTAAGTTGATGTTCAGATCAATAGGTGGGCAAGGTTTTGGATACGGGGATGTTGGATTCCAAGTAGGGAAGGTGCCCCAGCCCATTCCTGTTGCGGTGTCATCTTGCTGTTCCAAATGTTGGTGTCGGTCTGCCTCCGCGTTGCGGTGGTGAAAATTTGGCAGACTATCTTCTTGCTTTAGATTTTTTTGGGATGGTCTGGAGCGTTGAAGGTATCACGCTCAGTGTAGATTTAGCAAATTTTGACGGATGGCTCAATCTGCTGGGGAGGGTGGTCCCTGCTGTGGATAGTTGCCCTTTTTGCAAGGCTTGATCCGCTATGGTCAGTGAGCTCGTGTTGGTTTCCTTCATTGCGGGACTGTGGTCTCGATTGGAGGCGTCTACTGGCATGAGGTTATTCAGCTTAGTGTAGTTTCAAGTTTGGTTAGGAGTGAGATGTTTACCTAGTGGTGTTGTTGCCGAAACTCATTGGTTTGGTAGTTGTGAACTTGCTGGCAAGACTGTGTTTTGATCAACAGTGGTGGTATGTACCATTGTTGTGTCTTTCGCCCTCAGGCTTTCTTCAGTACTGTGTATGGGGGCTGGGTCAAAGGCAAGTTGTGATGGGCCTCTGAGACTCCTTCGTCCCCTCTTTACTGTGATGAATCCCTCTGCATCAACCTGTATCGAGGTAGTTTTTTGAATTGGTTGTGAATTGTTCAGAGCTGTGCTTTTATTCTCGTGGTCTTGAGAGTTATTGTTGGGGTCGTTTTTTGTGTGTGGATTAGAATTGTTAGCATCGTTGGGCCTTGGGATATTGTTGTTTGAGCTCCTCGGCCGGACTGGCTTTTTGTGTGGGCAATCTTTGACACAGTGGTCGACCTCCAAACAGAGGCGGCATCAAATTGGTAGGTGTGTGTAGTCCTATGTCACTACTGTGAGTTTGCCGGATTGCCTATCTTCTATTTCCATCTTTGTTTCCCAACCATGGCTGGTGTCAAGTGCAACACAAAAGAGGGGTTCAAAGAACATGATGTTGTTTATGCCCGCCCCAATTACTATTCCAAGAGTTCTTGCAATCTCTAAGGCTACAACATTAAATTGCCAGAGGAAATTCTTGAATGAAATCCAAGTAGGAATCAGTATACCTTAGAGTCCGAGGATGAAAAATGTGGAGAAAGTTGTTTCCCCTACATGGTGTGAGGAGGAGTTGTTGTGCTACTTCCTTATTCGGTGTTCATAAGCAAAAAAAAAAAAACAAAAACAAAAACAAAAACAAAAACAAAACTCCCACACAATTTTGTTGCTGGAAGTGATGCGGCTACTGCGCAGTTTGGAGTTTAGTCCGTCCAGCCACGCCTCGAAGTCAGTCGGGTTGGGGTGCGATTCAAGCATGTGCTCGTCGTTGTGGCCGTTGACATGCTCCCCTGCTCGTCATTGCAAGTTGTTCCTATGCCCGACCTTACGGAGTTGGCGTATCATTTTGGATGCCATTGCATTGTGCAACCCATAACCCCAACCTTGACTTTGGATGTTGTTCACACCTGTTATGTGTGTATCAGAGTGGAGTCTTAGCTACGCTAACACTCGCGGCACAGTTTTAAAACAGTAAGAAAGATCTGCCAATGACATAAACTAAGCTTGCTTGATGCATGTATTCGCAACGCGCGTAAGCACGCTCGGACGCCATCGCTGCTTAGCGCCTCCCCCCCTCACCGGAATTCTTGGAGCTCCATCGGAAGAGTGCTGTCCCGTTCAACCGTGACACGATTAATATGAGTAATTTAAAAGTTTGAGTGAAAGTTTAAAATTAAAACATGTTGACTCTTTTCAATAAATTTGAATTGTTATAAGAAAATCAATTTTGGACCTATTCAATTTTTATTTATTTGGAGGATTCATTTCAAAATGTTCAGTGACAAATAATTGAAATCAGATAATCTTTCAAACTTTCACTTATATTTTGAGGTAGATTATGTAATCTTTAGCTTTATTATAGATTTAGATTTAGTTTTAAATGAGTCATATCCTCTCTGTATATGTATATCAAGAATACTAAAAAAACCTTTTTAATATTTATTTTGAATTTCGAATAAACAATACAATTACTAAAAATATATATTTACATAGTGCATGTAGTTAGATAATTGAAACTGTATGTACGAAGTACCAGAAAATTCACTTGTAAAATTCAACTTCTATATACAAATAGTAGGACAATTGTTAGTAATATTTTTTGCTTAGAAAATTAGCATTTGTTTTTTTCAATTTTAAAATCTAATCAATTGGTATAACCTATATATATATATATATATATATAACCACAAGTAACGGTTTAACATTTTCTTTTTGTCCTTTGTATACCAACTTTATTATAAATTTGTCATCTTATAGTGTCCTAAATTTATTCAAACTCAAAAGATTTTTCATGGTTTTCGTTGTGGAATGATCTTTATGATCGTAATTTATTTATTTTGTCGTAGGCCAAATCTGCTCTCATTACGTGTGATCGAAAGATTGTTATGGTTTTTCTTGTCTAACTATCATTAAGTTCTTACTTTATTTATCATTGTTGACTTTTGACCTCCAAGGTCATTCGTTTACTGTTGACTTTGATTCCGATGCCCAAGTAACTGTTATCCAATAACGTGTGTCCCACATCTTCACCTAATGGGTACTTCGTCATAAGAATGAGTACATTTTTATAATGCCTTCAAATATACATCGGTATGTATCTATACATATATATACATGTAGAGTAAACAAAGTGATTAAGGTGTAGATGCAATACTCGTAATAAAGTATATGGTAATATATGTTAATAGAAAAGTAATATGGTAATATAGAGTAATAGGAGAGTATATTGTAATTCGTAGGAAAGTATATTTAAGAATATGTTTAAATTAAAATAAATTTAGGTATTTGTTGAATAAATAGTAACATCTCATGTCTTGTTCAATCATTTGAAAAATACACTGGGATGAAAATAAAATGGAAATGAAAAAGATTAGAAATTTTTTATTGAGCATGATTTTGACTTTAATACATGTTATTGTTTTAAATAAAAATACATTCAAAATTTAAATATCTACGATAGCAATATATGAATATACAATTTAGAAATAAATGCAAGTATACCTGTACTACATGGATATGAAATTGATTAGATTTTAAATTCAAATTTTTATGTGTATCTATTCATCAGGGGTTCACTATGATTATTTTAAAAATTATTTAATTTTTCAATAAATAAAGAATATTATCGAAGACTGTAATTCGTCTATAGTTATAAGATACCTATATATATATATATATATGCCTACACATTCAACTTACTGGTTAAAAAATCATGGATGAATAGTGCACGTTAGCAATCGAGATGGACAACGAAGGCATGCATTTATGTCAGTTTTTTCTACGAAGAAGCCACATCGCATATTCTAATAATAGAGTGAGTCCGTTCAAAGATTTATTCACATTGTTGTTGGTTTAAAACAGATTTCTGTTGTAATTACCTAACCGCCATGGCCCGGTTAATAAAAGTAGCCGAAAGGGAGTTGTCGGGACTGGGCTGGGCTAGGCGAATGAGCTCTCTCTCTCTCATGTGGTACAGTTGATCCCCATGCCCGCGCGCCGATCGTGGCCGAATGTCCGGCATGACGTGGGTTAACTCGCCCCAAGTCACGCCCGATGGACGGCGTTCCTCTGTTCGTCAATCGAAACAGCCATCGTCATCATGGCCTTTCTCGTCGCTTCCACTTCTTTATCGACGCCGTGGTGGTCACCGTTTTAGTGGGCCACCGCACGTTTCTGTCTAAATCAGGGGCCTTTTGTTTGATTTGTGTCAGGTCCTGCTGCTGTCGTCGGCGTTCTCCTCCTCCGACTTTTGTCCCGGGTACTTCTATTTCTTTCATCTGTGTTTTCTCGATATACCAGACACATGAGATTCTGCTTGTTCTCTTGGTGTCACCGCGTCCACCTACCTCCGTTTCTCGTGCGGCCTTTCTTGTGTGTCACTTCCATCCTCCAACGTTGGGGCTATTCTCTGCCGACCCCGATATGTTCCCCCCGCGCTCCCCCTCGCGTTCCCGATAATCCATGTAACGGCCAGGATTGAACCACGAGATCTGACGGGTGAGATGTCTCGAGTTAGTTGATGGAGTTGGGAGGTTTCAGAGACGGGTACTAGTAACGAGAGTTTCCTGTTTCAGCAGCGGCATCGCTCATTCTTCATACACGGGTAGAGGTGCAGTTTTTAACTATGGACTTCGCCGTGCGTTTCTCGGGGATGAGTTCTTGGTATTGCAATCCTCCTGTTGTGCGGTGGAGTTTGGCTCGCTGCTCTTTGCGTTCACCCTGTGAGTTTTGCAGATCAGTGAAAGGTGGCGTGGTCGGGGCAGTGTCACTGTTGGAGCGGGATGCTTGAGTTTTGTACATGGAGGTGGCAAATGATGATGCCTGAAGGGCTGCGCTCCTAAATCGGTGGTGGCATCGTTGTCGAGGCTGGTGCGTAGATTTTTAAAAAGGAATTTGTGAATGTTTTTTGAATAATTTTTCCGATTGTGTAAGAGTTTTTGAACTCTAAGCAGACATACGGACGGATCTTAGCTGAGTGGCTTGTCGTTTGTGTGAGGCTCTTCTTCTCATGGCTGTGAACTTAACTGCGATCGAAGTGTTGGATATATAGGTATCTTAGAGAGCAGCGTACCCTAGGCTTTGATTCTTGTGAGTATCTAGAGGTATTTTACACCTTGTGTTCTTTACCATGAAGAAACCGCTGCTGAGCCCATTGAGGAGCAGGACTTCTAAATCAACATTTCGATTCACTTGCTTTGTTTCCGTGGCCGCACTAATTGCAGGCTCTCTTTTCTACTTATTCCTGCTTGCTAATCCTGCGCTGAGATCGCAAATAGGTGCTATTAGGTTGAATCGCAGTTTGGCGATTGCGAACGAGGTCTCTTCCGCTGTTGCCTTCGCGGGCGCAGGCGCTGAATTTTCTTGTGATTGTACTTCCGAACTCAACTCCCAGAATGTTTCGAAGATGTCTGTCCTCGTTGGCGTGTTCACTATGGCGTCTAAGGTGGAGAGGAGGAATCTCCTGAGATTAGCATACAGTGTGCAGAGCGCAACAGACGCAGACGTGACGATACGATTTGTCATTGGCAGACCGAGAAATGAGGAAGAAAAGCTCACAATTGCTTTGGAGTCCCTCACACACAAGGATATCATTATCCTCGATTGTGAGGAGAACATGAACCATGGAAAAAGTTTTGCTTACTTCTTCACAGTTGCAGCAATGGGAGTCCGATTTGACTACGTCATGAAGGTCGACGACGATGCCTACGTCCGTGTAGCCAACCTCGCAAAGTCTCTTGATCCACTACCCAGGGATGACCTCTACTATGGATACGTCATTCCATGCGAGAACAAGGATCCCTACGCCTGGTACATGGCAGGCATGGGCTATCTCATCTCGTGGGACCTAGTGCAATGGGTGCACGACTCCCCGACCGTTCGTAACAACACCAACGGCACGGAGGATAAACTCGTGGGAGACTGGTTGAAGAGCGCAGGGAAGGCCAAAAACCGCGTGAGCAAGAAGCCCTTCTTCTACGACCACCCAGAATTTGGTGGCAAGTGTGCGCATGATCTCATCCCCGAGACTATTCTGATACATCAAGTGAAAACCCCCGCGAGGTGGCAGCAAGTTCTGAAGTTCTTCGAGCATGACCGCGTTGAGGCCTTGGCTGCACCATCAGCACCCATAGCTAGCATGTCATCTTCTATATAGGACCTGAGTTGGTTTGGCTAAAACCCCGCCATCGGACGAAGTTCCTTTGTTTATCGAGTATCTGAACCTGCGAGGGGTCACTCTACAGTGCCCCCATTTATAGTATTCTTTGTTATATTCCTTCCTTCCCTCCCTTCTTTTATTAAATTTTGATAATTTGCGGCAGCTCTGTACATTTCGGATGGATGCTGATCTTTGGTAATGTGGAGGAGCGATTGCGCACAGTGGTGTTCACTAAAGTTGCAGAAAGGGTCTTTGGAATGAATCCTCTGGGCATATTCTTGTCAATTCCTGAATTACTCATCATCAGTAACCGTCAAGTGGCTTTTCTCGAGTACTCGTAATTATATATATTTATGGCATCATAATGAGCAGATGTACTTCGTCAACGTAGCCACACAGTGTTTCAAATGCCTCAAACTTCGCCATCAAGGATGCTGCTCTGAGGGGCTTTTGCATTCATCATGGATCCGCGACAGTCAACACCTGCCGCACTATTTATTCATGGTTAGCGTCTTCGGAATTTTTAAACTGAGTAGCCTGCCCTGCAGCAACGCATAGGGCTCCGCTACCAGCACGTCCACGGTTCGTCTTTCGCTAGTTTGACACAGCGACCGATATTGGACCAGCATGAAATCTTTCTCGCTAACTAAACAACTAACTTTGGCTTCGCGGAGGCGTCAACCGAGAGTTACCAATCTCCTGCTGGGAATAATGACTGCTTACATAAAATCTGACGTAACAGACGCTTTCCTATGCTTGAAAAATTCATTTACTGTTTTGGCTAATGAAATCGCTTGTTGCAGTAAGACTTGAAAAATAATGAAGTGCAGCAACGACCGACTGGAACAACCGTATAGCTCCAATTGTAAATCCTTGTACCAAGAACGTGAGCCCGAAGTTTATTTGTTTGTACTTTCGAATGAACAGAATTGAAGCACATGATTGCCACGGCTATATTACGGTGAGCTAAAGATTTTGATTGACAGCTTCTAAAACTCCCTTTCTCGGTTGCACGGTTCTCGGCAACTACCTCTCTAATGTGCTCACATTGCTGCACGCTAGGTGCCCACGTCGTTGATGATGCAGTCTGATGTGACGACATACTATTCAAAACATGCAGAGAAAGCATACCGTGGAGCATGAGTCCTAATCACGACAGATTGTAGCATGCATGGCCTTCGACCAACCTCCAGCCACGTCGCTATGGTGATAGTATAGATGTTAGGTGTGGTCACCCCATTGAAGCACTTGAAGAAGCTGTAGCTGAGCGACTGTTCAGATTAACTAACCATCTGTTTCAGTCGTTCTCGTCGTGGAGAAGTACGTCTCTTACAAGGTGCATTCCCTGCAAGAATCTAGTTACGCCCTTGTCAGCTTGTAGGTAAGGCTCATGAAACTACCATAGATCTTAGCACATGCTAGCTAATTCTAATCGCAAAGAAAGGGGTTACCAACATCTCGGAGATATGGTATGAACATTTGATAGAAGCCAGTTACCTTAATAACCTTGGGATCGTGTCTGATGCGGGGACGCCCGAGCAGAAAATGCTCTCGCATACTCTGGAGGATGACATCCTCTCATATGAACTAATAATGAATCTGGCTTGAAGGTCCTTCCGCAATGCCTACACACACGATGGATTGCTGATTTGGGGGGTAAAACTTTCTTAACATACTAACGTGATGGTTGTTGTACCATATACTTGAAATATGGTACAACTTTCGGAATGATCAACAATTTTGAAATGTGTGGTCAAGACAAAATTGTACAGAAAGGGAACTTGAAGACGTACGGGCACTCCTGGAGGAATTGTCCAAAGTTGGGTGGGGGTAAACAATCAGTCTCGGGGTCTTGCAGAGCTTTTTCCCAATCTGAAGTCGTCAATCCATGAATAAATGATCTGCAATCAATCACATTTCAAGCGGCAGAGCACAGTGTCAAATGTGAATGTTGTATTTATGCTGCAACAAAGGTGAATGCTTTCTGATAAACCGTGGCATTCAACTTGCATTGTATTTGTGAATGCTGTTTAATTGCGTACTTCTCATGATTTTCGGGAAAGTTTATGCACTTCTTTCCGATGGCTTTTCTTGGAGTCTGCACTGGTTTTGTGTCGTTGGTACCCTTGTGAAAACCTGGAGGAAGAGGCATCGGTGACGTGGTTTTCTTCACGCTTGGTGGACCATTGCTATTTATCGCGCTTTTGACGAGAACTCTGTGGATGTGAAAAGACAGAACGAGACAGCCTTGAGCGAAAGAGGAATTGCAGAATAGAATGCAGTAGTGGAAGAATGCTGAACCGAAGGTTACCTCGTTACAGCAGATGTTGGTGTCTCTGCGTCTTTTTCTGAAGAACCCTTGTCAATATCTATTTCTGAACTGTCGGGCTCGGATTGCAAACTCGGCACAGACAGCACTGCTTCTTTCGTATTGAGTTCCCGTGGATTATTGTGGGGGTTCACGTTTGACGGTGCCTCCTCGTCAGCAATTGTGAAATTGACTTCTGTCCTTGAAAGTGTAATTTTGGTGAGGATCTTCGCCTTCGATATTTGACAATGCGCAAGCTCTTTCTTTCGAGGGATCTGATTTTCTTCAGGAGTACGACTGCTTTTTCTATGTAATACTGGTAGATGACGAGTCTCTTGACAGGATCGTGAAACATGAGTTGATATTTTTTCCTTGATCGGCGAATTGGAGCAAGTTCGGAGCACGTTTGCTTGCGGGTGGGTTTTGGTTTTCAGAGTCTTTGCGGCATCACTTGGATGAATCAATGATACTTCACATGTGCGGCCGAGGCTTCGCCTTCCCTTACTACTTCCTCGGGTCCACCGAGACCAAAGTGATCTGATGATATTAGAAGTGGACTGATCAATCTCCTGTTTGTCGTTCTCTTCATGTTCCTCTTTTATTTCACTAAGATGTAAGGTGCTCAAGCTTTTTGATCGACAGCCACTCCAGAATGATATATCGTCGTGCATACATTCAACGTGCGAGGCTTCTGGAGACAAGAGAGCGTACTCTCCTGATCTCTCGGAAGGAGGACTCAAATTCGTGTTACGCATTCCAAACAAACTTTTCCTGATCTCCCTCTTCCACAGTCTTTTCGCACTACCTGGTGTTGAGGGTGGTTCAATCGATGAGGGGAGGGAATCGTAAGGTAAAGTCTGTACACCTTGCAATGTTGACGACTGTCTGATCTTAGCCAGGGTATCCTTCACTGGTTTGCAGTTGACCATTTTTAGGAGGCGAGGCGAAATTTCATTGTCAGAAGACGATAAGCAGAAATCCGACCTTTCCACATCTATCACCTCTTGCTTTGAGTCATCTGATCTTCTTGCTGAACGGCTTTGTTTGGCGGCATTTAGTGAGTTGCCTCGATTGGCGCAAGCGACATTGCCATTCCACATGATTCGGTAGCTTCTATGATCACTTTGATTTGATAGGTCGAGGCCACAACCTCTGGATACTTGAGTTTTGAACGACCCTTGCTTTTCTTTATTTTGGCACTTGGCGAGATTCTCAGCTGGCTTGCCTGCAGTTCGTGAGTTGACTGGAAGTTAGCGTGTGAATCTATATATAATGTTCCTGACCGAAGTATTTAAACCTAAAAGCTGATTGTCAACGCAGCTGGCTCTAATATACAAGTTTTCATAGGATTCGAAATCCTACTAGCAAAAATGTCAATAAGTTGTGAAGCTTTCAAGACGAAATCTCCTGAGCCGTGCAATGGATGGATCACATCGTCATCACTCAAGTCCTTCCAGATGAATGTGCTTTTGTAGTTTCTGCGCAATGGAATGGTGTCGCATACCTGTTAAAACCAATTAACTGTGGTCTAGACTAAATATGCGTAACCTACATCAGTCACATACAGAAGAGATTGATAGCAGAGAGCCTCAAATTCTTCGTGTCCAGGCCAGTGTGGTTATCAACAACGAACCTTTTGTAAGACCACGAAAACGAATGATTTATGCCTTGTCCGCGCAGCAAAGTAAGCCGCTTCTTCACATCTATAAAAAAATGATGGTCTTAGAAATTCATGACTTTGCTTTGAGATCGTAAGGAAATGAAAATTGAAAATTTGATCAAGCGGACTGAATATGGAGCTGAATATTATGCTAGACACGCATAATCTGAACATTAAATGGTACCTCTCAGGCGTACGCCATCTTGGCCAGGTGGATATTGCACCTCGATCATGTGAGGGTCCTCAAATTTTCCATCCCAGTTGAGCTGATACACAACTTGCACAATCGAATACTCTTCTTCAAGTGCCATGCTTTTTGAGCTTGGAGAGTACATATAAAGAATTGAAATGGCAGTGTTGAAACCGAGAAACAGAGTCCGTGTCCAGAATTTTCAGCAAAATGTGTATGAAACTGTTCAACAATGAAATTCAGCGGAGTTCGTAAGTATCATCCGCATGGTTTGGAACAAGCTCAAGACAGAAGAGAATATTCTACAATGCACGTGATGTGATTCACCAGATCTTGCTCTTTAGTGGCAATAACAGAACATGCACCTAAATAAATAAATAAATAAATAAGAACAATCACTGACTTTTAAGTGGTCTTGTTGAGTAGATCAAGGAAGACACATGTAAAGGCGGTGGTTACTGCGTCCGCACACATATCTTATAACGCTCAGGCCTTCAATTTTTGTGCTGGAGTACAAGAGTGCATCACAAAACAAGACTCTATGACAAATCTTCCAAGTACTTCAGTAATTACAGCAAGCTTTAGATCAGCAATCCAAGGAATGCATAACACGCATGGATCTTCGAGAAGTCTTAGAAATTGCTATGCGATGCGTTCCTGCGCATCTAACAATCCAGTGCTATATATAATTCAGAGCCTGCACAACTACAATCTGATAATTCGGTTAGTCCTCTACACTTCAACATGACCAGATAACGTAGGTCTAGACAAGAAAAACAAGTGGTCAGACGATGGAATAACTCACAAGTGTACGAATAGTGCCCCTAAATATACTCGCCGGTTAGATGAGCTGCAATTACTCGTCACCATAATAGAATCACACATGTTGCCATGATCGAAACAGTAAAAAATGCATCCCCCTACCTTGTGATGTTAAAGCAGTGCTCAATGCACGCTACAGGGCCATCCGCGCCATGAATGCTTCAGAAACAAGAGCTCCAGACAAAGACGCCACCACAACACATTTGATTGAGAAGCAATCAGACAATGCGAAGCCATCCTCACTATCACCAGCCAGTGGAGGACCTCGAATTCTCTCCTCAAAAACACCTCGAACCAAATACAAATCCATCGAATCATTCACTCGATCCCAAAAACAGAACACGCCAACTCGCCACCTCACACTTCCACCCTGTCACACATGTTTCCCGATACGAAAGCACTGGTCACACAGAACTCAGGCCAAGACGCAATTCGAAGTACAAGACAGTCAACATGTCGACACGCGGAGGCATCATTCAACCTCGTCAGGCATGAAGAGCTCGGTCCAGAGATGCACCTACTCGGTCACCAAGCTCCCCGACGCTGCGCATCCTCGCTGCAACAACTGTAGGTTGATGGAGCTCAACTTATACGCTGCGAGTCAGGAATCTTAGCATCATCGCCTCCACTGCAAGTCACACTTATGGCGCCAGAGTCACGCATGCTCTAAAAACAATTTTGCTCTCTCGCTCGCTGGATCTATCTCTCGCTAAGTTGTTGACGGTGATGTGTGAATTGCGTAATCAGCGTAAGGAATTCTTCGAATGATATCAGAGGTGTGCGGCAGTGATCCCGTCGATGCGGTACAGGCAAGAGTGACATGAGGCAGCCGGACAAGGACTAAGAAGAAGTGTGGTCGGGTAGGGTAGGGTAGGGATAGGCAGGAAAAGGCGGGGTGATGGAAAAGGCCGGCAGGTAGATGGGAACGTGATAGGTACTGAGTCGACTTGGACAGGCCTGGCCTGGCCTTCCTCGCAGAAGCCTCGTACTCCAGCTCTGTCTGTGCCACTGTACACTCGGGCGGTACTGTCCTGCAATGCTCGATTCGACCTCGGAGGCAACCTAGGTTGCGGCATTTCGCACTCCCCGGTCCGGGTATCCATCCGAGTCTCGGGCAGCTCTGGAGAAATTTTACAACCCAAATCGACTGCTGTCTATTCTCTTTTCTAACTCCAGTGAATATTCAATGAATATTCAGACATTCACTTCACTTCCACAGTACACTTTGCAAACTTCAATTGGAATCTCACCTTTGATATATGTAGTTTGGAAAGTTTAATATTAGAGTGTAAACTGTACTTTGATGTATTTTTTCCACTTTGATCCGAAATTAATAGAACTTAAGTGGGTTAAGGTAAAATATGTCCTGGTATTTCAAGGGGTCTTTATCCTAGAGAGGATAAGGTAAGAGGTCATAACTTTTATTTTTTTGATTAGTTGAATCAAGAAGCCTCATTTTAGAAAGTTCTTATACCTGCAAGCTTACTTTAAAAAGCCATGATTTAAAATCATTTCAAAGGTCCCTCTCTTGGTAAAAGAAAAAAACCTCTACTAGAAGTCTTGGTTTTTGGATATAGAATAAAGTGAGAATAGGTAATGACATGAACCAAATCATTCTTTTATTGCTAATTTAAATATATCAATTCATATCTTCATTCTAACAAATATGGAAAATATGAAGAAAAGAAAAATCTATGTTTTTAGTAGTTGACTTAAGCATTGTCATAGAGCTTCATGAGTTTTTTTAAAAGCTGCCTCTTGAAATGAGCCCAATGGAAATTTTGGGAGACAATAATATTCATGCTGTAAGGAAAGAATACATTCTATCTCATCTTTTCTACTTGGTACTTTTGGATTGACTAATCTACATATAAAGATTGTTTGCACTTGGTAAAATTAATTGTAATATTAATAATATATATATATATATATATATATATTTGATCAAGTTTTGAATTCATTCATGGTTTGGCAAGTTAACTTTGGTTAATATAATGATTGATAACTCTATTGGCAAAAACTGATACTTTACTTCACATTTTAGGTGTTCATTGTACTAGGAAGCCACTTCTTTCTACAAATCTTGAGCCCAATATTTAACTCTTTGGATTGAACTAAAGAACCTATTTATTACACACCTTTTGGATACTTGAAAAACTATGCCAAATACTACAATGGAAAAGATCCATGGGAAAATCATATACCATGTTGATTTTCACCTTTTTATATTTGCTTCTGTGACTAGATGGAGATCTCATGTACATAGGTAACATAGCTTATACTTCCTCAGTCACCATATCAACCACCCTTGGCTGCAACATCTTCACCATTAATTTTTAAAATAACTGAGAGCCAACCACGTAATCTAATATTTTTGAATAAATTTTCATTTTGAAGGAGTGGGGAATGGAGGATCTAGATGAGGTGAAAACATGCAAATTAGTCAGTCCAATACTGAGAATGACACTTTCTTTATTGAAAGGAGGATAGCAAGTAGATACAACCCTTTTTACTTTTTAGAAGGAGTGGAGAATCTGTCTGGTACATACATACACATACAAATAAGGCCAATCACCAACTCTATTAGCATCTCCATTAATTGCTTAGTACTACAATTTTGGTTTGGTTCCCTTTGAAATAATACATCTGGTGGAAGTTGGTAGAGGAAAACATGGTGATTAAGGACCAAACATGACAATTAATAGCAAGTGTCATATATAAGATTTTTTAATATAATATTTTAAACTGAAGAATCTTTGATTGATTTGATGTCAATTTATATATATATATATATATATATATATATATAATTTGAATACATTATTCAGTATGATTAACCAACTCCAAATTTTAATAGTTTCTAAAATGGGATCTAAATTTTTTTTATTACTCACTCAAAAAATTATGTGAATGAACTTTTAAGCATTGAAACAGGAAAAATTAATTTTTTTAAAAATGAAAAAAATGAAAAAAAAAAAAAAAAAAACTAGTCGTTTTTATTTTTATTTTTTCGTTCTGTGAAAAGGAATATCATTTTTTAAACAAAAATTGACTATTCATTACCAAACGTGGTTTAAACTTGAGGAGATTTTATGCTTTGGTGGCCAATTCTATTAGTCTGATTTGTATTACTCAATAAACAGTGATAACTACAGAATACATACTCCATAATTGTAGTGCTGATCAGAATGGTATCTGTTCTCTTGTAGCCCACTAAGGCAATATAGTCCCAATTGAGGGAGGGAGGGGAGGTTGTTCTCTATAATTCATTAATGGAAATGCTGTCAGAGCCTTGCTTGTATGTGCTTGTGGGATGATGTTGATAGTCTAAGTATTTGTTGGATTCTCCACTCTTCTTCTTCCTCCTCTCCTACTATGAACTACTGTGAAGTAGAAGTTTTCATTTACTTGCTCTTTGCCTTGGATTGAGTGCTCCATAAGATTGCACATCCTCTCAATGTCCACTTCTCTAAAATAAAACATATATATTTTTAAAATAAATAAATATATCACTTTAAAATACTTCAAATGCTTCAAAAAAATATTTCTTGATTTAAATTTATTATATGTTTATATACATATATATAGATAGAACAAAAAGAAGTTTATAATTTAAATTATTAAATAGAGAGAATATAATAGTAAAGAAAATAAGTAAGAATGTAATATAAAAAAATTAGATTTAAAATACTTCAAATAATTTAAATTAATAAATAAATAATACTAGCCAATTAATTATCTTATAAATGCTATCTAATAAATATTAAATATAATAAAATTTATAGATATTAGATTATTATTTTTTGATCTATTTGAGCAAATAAAATTATACATGTTATTTTATTATATAATAAATAGTTGTATCTTGCATAATTTATATCCTTAAACTATCATGGACATATATATTTACGTAGATAAGAAGTGCAATGTAGTAGGTAAATGTAGGTATATTTAATATTATTTTGTGGCATAACTTCTTAGAAGCTTCATGGATGCGTATTTGATTTTATACATGTTTATAGTTGATTGATAAGTTAGAAACTTGGCCAATAAGTTAGCAATGTGTTATATATGTGGATAACTAGTGGTATAAGATAATAATGTAGTATATATATAGAAAACTTGCCTTGCAAGTTATAGAATATTGCTATTTAACTTTTAGTTGAATAGTATATATGAAGATAAGAGTGAAGCCTTTTTTTACTCTTATTAATGTCTTTTTAGTCTTTAGGCTTATTATTTTTGGCAATAATAATTCTAATTTAATATTATATCATCTTTGAGAATTTTTTTTATCTTTTTGAATAACACAAGAGTTTATTGATTTATTACTCATTTAATAATCATGTCCTTAACAATTTGACAAGAGTGCTAAATAATTTTCCATACTTTGTATTAGAAGTGAGTGGATTATTTTACTTCTATTTTTGTACTTTGAAGATTGTAAACTATCCACCTTTATATTTATATTTAATTTTTTAAATTGATTGTTTTTTTTTTTTTTTTTTTAAAATGGACTACCTCTCTTTGTAAAAACTTTTATTTGATATTAGAGATTACACATTATCCTCCTCTAATTTAACTTTTAGATTTATTTGAATTGTATATAAAAAAAAAATCATGGATGCTACTCTTGGCAAAAGTGAAAATAGATTTACAACTATTATAGATCTTTATGAGCTTATCAATATTCTAAGAAAGAAAATTTCACATATCTCTAATGTCAACTACGGAAGTAGTATTTTGATATCTATGGAAGATATCAATAACAAATTTCAAAATATATGCCAAAAAGTTATGCAATTGAAAGAAACAAGTAAATAAAGCTTACAACTAAATCCAAGAAATCTTACTACTCTAAGTATGAAAGAAACACAGATAAGTATGCTCAAGAAGTTTGATGGAATAAGATCAAAATTTTAAGGATTTTTACAATAAATAAAGCTCTATTTAAGATTACATTCTTTTAAATATTCTCATAGATTTATTCAAGTTATATTCATAGATGTGCTTCTTTCTAGGAGTGCCTTTTCTTGGTTTGCAGCTTTAATAGAAAAATACTCATGTCTTTTCCATGATATAAATTCATTCTTACAAGTTTAATAGCTACTTTTGGAGAAAATATTCAAAAAAGATAATATCAAAGATTTATTATTAATAATTTCAAGAACAGGCTTATTATAATAATTTATTGCTCAAGCCATTGCATGCAACAATCAATTCTTTGAAAGATGCCAAGAACAAAGATTTGATTGAAGAGGTATAAATTAAGCTATGGCAATAATCTCTAAGTTTATAGAAGCTTATTCATCAAGATCAAAACCTATGCAAATTAAAATGGTATATTTTAATAAACTTATTAAGAAAAATTCAATGTGATCAAGAAAATTTATGCTCATATTATGGAAAATTTATGGATACTTGTCACGGCCATAATCATGTAAGCTAATAATTACATATAGAAATAGGTAGAAGTAAGTAAAAGTAGATAAAAGTAAGTTAATTGTATAATATTTAATATAGAAGCTTCCTAGAAACTTCCTAGACGCTGCTTTGACTTCATAGGTGTCTTTAATTGACTTTTTGGATTAGAAACGTGGTCAACAAGTTGGCCATGTGCCACACATGTTGTTAGCTTGAAGATCAAGCTAACTATGTGGCCCACACGTAGAAAAACTTGCCTTGTAAGTCAAGGCATGTGTCCTACAAAGTCAACACATATTGGAGGTCCTATAGAACGTCGCCACGTAGCCCCTAGTTAGATAGTATATATAGAGACAAGAGTGAAGGCTTCTTCACTCTTGTCAACTCCTTTCTTGCTTCTAGTCCAGCTTCAAGAGTCTTT